CACAATCCAAAAAAAAAAAAAAAAGCCTTTTGAACTTCAAAATACCACCAGATGTCCTTCCAACTGAACAGCTATAAGGTCAACTATTTATACATTATTCCACAATATTCTACAGTGTACCTAGACAAAACACAACTGTACACTTTGTTTTTGGCCACCTCAATAAAGGTTAGGCTTTTGGGATGGAGGTTTTTTTTTTTTAATGCAAGTTCTAAGCTAAAAGAGTCAGATTTGGTCATTGTAACCCCATCATCGGCAACAAGACCTTCAAGTCAAAATCCTGCCTGGCAAGCAGGCTTTATTTTGGCCATCTTCTGCCAAAGAAACTCTTAGCTGAACAAGCCAACTCAGCCAACTGTGTTGCAGATAAGGTTGAAGAAACCAATGCAGTCCAAAGCAGAACATAGCATTTGTGCAGCTCCCGACAACCCAGCCCCCCTTTTATCAGAGGGTCAAGCAGGGAAGAAAATTAAATTTGGGATCCTATCCCCCTATTTCCTTGCTCAGGAGTGCATAGATTTGATCAGGTCTCTGGCTGAGCCAAGCCAAACTGTACACTTTAGTGTCTCCAATAAATAAGCCACGTTGTTAAGATCTAGGGTCCTTGTTACAGCTTCTGCATGTGGTTCCTTCTAAAGGAGGGGATGAATTCTCCCATGGTTTGCTCTTTCCCTACTTTGTTACCTGCAACAGTGAAAAAGCTTTGGCACCTTCTTTAGAATTGCACACAACAGTTAAAGGTGGAAGGCAGGAGTCTTTTTGGCAATTGTAATGCAAAAAAACCCAAGGCCACCCTGGAAAAAATTAGCCAATTGGAATAAAAGGACATTTTAAGAACTACTATAGAAAGCATAGTAGCCCATGCCTTTTGAAGTGTCTTTGCTATAGTCCTCAGCATTAATGTCCTCACATTTCATCGTTGGGGAATTTTCATTGCTGGAAGTGCTAGGGGAAAGCCGTCTTCTCTTACAAGCACCTGTGTAGACCCCAGAATCATTTGAATCTAAAGACTTTATGGAGGGTGGAGTCTCTATCCAGGATGAGCCAATTTCTTCTTTCACCTTCTCCTTGGAAAGCTGATCTTCAGAGAATCCTGGAGGACTTGTTCTTGAGGTCCAAGGTAATCCTGTTGTCATTTTTCGCTGGTAAGAGCTCCTGCTCCCCCAGCCTGCCATGGATGGAAATGTCGGGTCTGGGTAGTATCCCAGTGCATGGGATGTCTGAAGGGGGAGGGATTTAATGCCATAAGGGAGCAAGGTGCTATGAGAATACTCTGTCTCATAGGAGTTCATGTCCAGTTTGTTGGCACTGGGCTGCTGTACAGGCGTCACAAACCACCGCTGAGGAGGGCTGGCCACCTCCTCATTCTGCTGCGGGGACAGCAACCCATTCGTCTGAGGAACGGTTCTCTCACCGTTGTAAAACCTGGCTGGGGGCAGGTTGTTGACAAACTGTTCTTGGAAGAACGGCTGCATACTGTATCGGGTGCCAGGGACAATCTGGTGGGATCTAGGAGAGTCCGTGGGAGATGGAGTTAATCTGTCATTTTCTGAAGCTGTGTACATGCTACAACATAAAAGAGAAATACCAAGTGTTTTTCTTAACAGTTCCAGTATGATAGTAAGACTACATAAAAACACAAACAGGAAGAAACTCGAGTTATTTCTTAATTAGAATCATAAATATAATTGGATGGCTGTTTATTTTTATCTGATTTAGGAGGATTTTTTCCCCTAGACTAGTATAAGATTTCTGGTATTACTGCTATAAATACACTGTTCTCCACCATCCGACCCATTTTAGATGAGCTGCATGCAGCAGCCATACTTGTATATATACACACAGCTCCAATTTTCCAAAGGGCATTTGAAGCTGTAAAAGTGACCATTAGGCAAGTCTTTTGCTAATAACTTGAAAGATGCTGCCTACTCTTGGAGACACTCAGTACACTCTACTGCCAAATCTGCAGGCCAGCACAAATTTACTACCAAAATTCAGAAGCCTGCTGAAAGACAGGTAATCAAGACAATACACTATTTAAACAGCCATTTTAATGTTAGCAAAACTGCCAGAAGTATTGCTGCTTCTGAATAACTTTATTAGTGTATAAAGAAAATCTTTTGCACAGACATTTCAGGCCAGAATCATGCTTCCTAGATAGAAACAACTGCAAAAGAACACAGAAGTGTACTTACGAGTCATAGTTGTCTCTGAAGCCTTTTGCAAAAGGGTTATGGTCAATTTTGAGCTGTGTAATCTAAAAATGAAAGCAGAATATAGTAAATGAGACTCTGAACCCACAAGGCAATTTTATTCTCAATTGTAATTTTATACATCTGTGCTTACATCAGTGTTTTGATATGCTGTAACTGCTATGAACTGTGTTTCAGGGAAAACAAATGTTTGAGTCTTTGAGGAATCATTCAGATCTTCAACACCATCTTCAGTCACCTCCACAATGTGAAGCCGGGGCTGATACTTGTGTAGAGACTGAAGTACTATCATCTAAAAGAAACCATGAAAGAGACAAAAACTTTAAAACAATTGCATCTAACGTTAAAAGGTTTCTTTTACAGCATGACATTTTCTTCCTGTAAGTTGTATAGAACATTTTAACTGTTATCAGGAGATGTTTCATAGCTAATAGCCCTGTTTCAATAAGAGCCATCTGCTACACTCCCACTTTTTAAACAACTCCGGGGATAAATACACCAGCTAAAACAAAAACAATTCACACATTTTTAACTCCATTCATACAGAGAGGTAAACAAGATCTATGACCCAGTTCAAGAAGGGGACAAGTCACAGTCACAGTGATCTAGCAGCTCGATGAAACGGTGTAAAGGCCTGAAATCCCAGGGCTCCCCTGCTGACCCACCAAGAGCCCCTCAAGCCTGCCTCCCCTCCATACCTGCGCATTGTTGTTGTTAGCACCTTTATTGTTCGTCAGCTTCAACTTCCCGAAAGAAATCTCCTGCCTCATCCAGTGAGCCCCGGTGTTGGGCGACTCGGGGTGAACGTAGACCTTGTTGCCTGGGGAAGACAAGTCAATGAAAGGCCGGCCGAGCATGGGGCTTTGTTCTGGCCCCCCCCCCGCCGCGCAGCACCTCGGCTCCACGATGGCCCCTCTCCCACACAGCCTCGCACACTGAGGCGTGAAAAAAGGCCGCAAAACGCCTTTATAAGTGTAGCTTGTCCCTCACCAAAATGCCGTGTGTCGGGAAGACCCTGCAAAAGGGGGAGAAGCGGGAACCCTTTCTGGGAAACCGACCCACAGGGAAAGGCGGCGAGGAGACCCCGAGAACCCGCACCTACCTTGCATGTTGTTGTCGGCTTTGCCGCAGGTCACCCACTTGCCTCCCTGGAAACGCCAGTGGTTGGGGTCCGCCAAGACCACCTCCACGAAAACGTTGTAGTGGGCCGTGGGGTTGAGGCCAGTGATGTTGAAGCTCAGGAAGGGAAACATCCTCCTAGAAAGAGGGAGGAAAACCACACGGCATGCTGAGGTGGGCCGGGGAAGGGGGCGCGGGCTCCGACGGATGCTGCAGGCGGCCGCAGGGTGCCCCGTCCGTCACGGCACCGAGGAGACCAAGGAAGCAAGCGGCGAGCCCCAATCAACCCCCGCCCCATCTCCCGACTGCCTTGCGTGGGGAAAATAAGAGAGTTGGTTCTCAAGGAAAG